GGTATTAAAGAAGACTGAGTAGGAGGTGGTAAGATTATGACATTTGGATCATTAGAATAGGATTTTCTACTTGGTATTTTATTTTTTATATTCCTTTTTCTATTTATATTTATATCATCTTGAACTTGTAATTGTTGGAATTTAATTTCAATATTACCATCAGGATGTTCTATGATTTGATTAGGAATATGATGTTGAGGAACCTCTTGAGGTTGATTGGCATGTTGTAATGCCCATGACTGTGGTAGTCTGATATCTGACCATTTTATTGTTTTGGGAACAATCATATTTGATTTTTCCATGTTTGTTTGGAATAAAATAGTTTGATCTTTTTGATCAATTTGCATAATATTTGGACATAAGGTGTTCATGACTTTATAATATATTCTATAAACTATTGCTAAGTTTTGAGATCCTTGGGTCATATGGAACCCATGTGTTTTTAAATTAATTGTTAATATATCTAATATATTTGGGTCAGTTAAAGAAACAGAAAAATTTGGAAAACAATTAAAATATATAGGACCACTACAAAGGCTGGATTCAACCATGCCGAGTAGCGAGTCTGTGAATATATTGTGTCTTGTATCTCTTAGGCATACAAGCACAGAGGTGTTCAACCCTAATCGGGTCAAAGGTTTTACGGCTATTTGAATTAATCCAATATGTAAATATTTGTAATTATGTTCTTTATGTTTTTCAATGATTTTCTTTGACAGCAGGTGAAAGTCTTCTTGATTTTGAGTGACTGACAAACTTTCTTCTACAGTCTTGATGGCATAACCCATCTTGAATTTGAATGTTCATTTATTATAGATGTCATGAATTGGTACCTTAGGTATGTTCCAATTTTGAATATTATGTTCAATGTCATTTATAACTATTTGTTCTTTGTTTTTTACTCTAAGTGTTTGAGATGAAGTTGCATTTTTACTAGTTAGATTCCTTATTAAATTTGCCATCCGTAGGTTGCGGATAATGACAATCTGGACATTCAGTGGCCCAGCGTTTTCCCTAAGCGGCTCTTCCTGGCCTTGGCGGTACTTTGCAATAGGCGTTCACTTGTCTCTTGTCTTAACTCTCGGACCAACTTTCTAGGATGTAAATTTAACTTAGTTTCGCTAGTCAAGATGTAACTTTTATCTCATCTACTTATTGATGTAAAAGAACAGGTTTCCTGTTTTGACAGTTTAACTGTTTACACAGTTTCACTGTTTAACAGTTCTACTGTTGTAATTTTGACAGTTTTACTGTATGGCTCTGATACCAACTTCGGCCAGGATCTACAGTACTGTCATAACCTTTGTTGATAGGTTGAAACCTTTGGATTTTGTTATACAAGAATATATTGATGTTATGTAAGAGAGGTATGCACTGATCTTATAATAAATAAGTGAATAATAAACTATTGTATTTAACTAGTTCTTGTAGGATCTTATAATAATTAAGGATAAATAGGATTATTCCTAATAAAGGGATAATAGAAATATCGATTACAAACCACTGAGCATAACTATGTTCACCAATTTTTACATTAAATAAAATCTTTAATTGCATTATCACAGCATTATCACAGATAATCAGAAGATATAACTAAAACAAACATTTTATTATCAGAAACTTTACACCCTGATATTAAGCGAAATGCAGAAACTATAAACTTTACACCCTGATATTATGGCGAGATATTTTACAGAGAAGTAAATAGCATGACAGAGAAGAGAGAGAATATCAGAAAGCATTTTACAGGGAAGAGAGAGATAAAGTATATTACAGAAAATAGAGAGAAATATCAGAGAGTATCAGAGCATAGCAGAGAATGAAGAGAGAATATCAGAGAGGATAGCAGGAAGCATAGAGATGAGAGAGAGAAAGTATATCACAGAGAATAGCAGGATAAGAGTATAACAGAGAGACTTACTGTTTGCACAGACAATAACTGGAAAACAATTTCCAGTGGTTTGGGCAGTATGAGGGAAGAGATTTGAGATTACAGTCACACATAATAAAGTGAGAAAGGTAAAGATAGAACCTGGTTATTGGAGCTATGAAGGTCAGGATAGCTCTGATTGCACTATTACTTCGGGAAGGCATTTGTCTCAGAAAAGAGATTTGCAGAGAGAAAACAAAGTGATAGAAGAAGAGATGATAAGGTTGAAGGCTTTGAAACGGTTGAAGAGGTTGAAGGCTTTGAAACTCTTCTGGGTGGTGAGATGAGAAGAGGAGGAGAAGAGTGTAAGAGAGAGAGGCGGAAGACCTTGCTTCGAATGAAGAAGGTAGGGTTCTTTTATAGAGGGAGGTTGCTTCGTCCTTAAGAAAGGAATAAAGGAGCTGGAGGAAGAGGACAAGAAAGAGAAGACGTAAAGAGATTAGCAACAGTGGAAAAAGGGTGAGAAGACGTAAAGAGATTCGCCACAGGGGTAAGACAAAGAGGACAAAATAAAAAAGAAAGAAGAGATTCGCCACAGGGGTAAGACAAAGAGGACAAAATAAAAAAGAAAGAAAAAGGATGCTTTTGAGCATCTTTGTACAGTATATTTTTTGTCCATATTGAATCATGGCTACAGTAGGGCATCCGGAACAGTGTTCTTTGTCGGTGACGTGGTCACTGTTTCTTGTCGTATCTGTCGGTGCTTTGTCGTATCTATTGGTGCTTGGAATAGTATCTTGGCATTTATTATTGATTGTTTTTGTCGGTTTTGTGCCAGCACGGATGGCAACTTTATGGTCTTTGGCTAAATTCTTCTGGGTCATCTTCTTCTGGATCTGTCTCTTCTGGATCAGTCTCTTCTGGATCGGCTTGACTTAGTTGAAGATACCTATTGGTGTGAAGTGGGGAAGACTGTACTGTTTCTTCGGAAGATGTTGGCTTTCTTCCGGCTTCAGCAAAAATCTCTTTCATTTGTTTCTCTAGTTCTTCTTTTGATGCATTGGGATTTGTTTGCAACATATTTCGAAGGTAGGTTGGAAAGTCAAAAGAGGTGTTTGCAGTATTTGGGTTTTCCTGGTATTTAGGTGTTTTTGGGGGTATTCGTTTTGGTGTGGTCTTGGTGACATCCATTTGGAAGATATCCCACCATTTCACAGAAATAGTTTTTCCCAATCGAGGGATGTAGGTATAGTCATTTGTGGTATTGGATGAGATGGTGTAATCCCATTTCATAATCCATGGGATTTTTTGTTTTCGCTTAGTGATTTTTTGTTTATCTAATTGTCTTTTTAATTTCATGTCTGTGCATAAGGCTAAACCTTTAGCACATATTTCTGCGGAGAGTTCTCCAAGTGTATAGGATGAATAGACAATAATTCCATTATGTTTTTTCCTTAATCTTTCCTTGACTTTTTCAGCAAACAAATATGGTAGACCAGCTATAAATTTTCTTTCCAATGGTCTAGCTGACAGTCATCGCGTATTAATAATCTTGAGAAAAATACATCTTTATACCATTTATAATGAGATAGTGTAGGACAGCGTAAATTAGATAGCAGATCTTCCGATCGTGCTGCTAGTAAAGCTGTACTGCCTACAAAATGAAGTGTAATGGTATATATTAGAGTGTTGACAGCATCACTCTCTGTATATATTATTTCTTGGTTTTGTTCATTCCTGGCGGTCCATTGCCTAGTATTATTGAGGATTCTTTGTTTGGTGTCATCATCTACATAAAAAGCCCACCATCCTCGTAACCAGCCAGTAAATCCATTTACTATTGCTTTTGCAACCTCTTGATATAAGGAATCTAACTAGTAAAAATGCAACTTCATCTCAAACACGTAGAGTAAAAAACAAAGAACAAATAGTTATAAATGACATTGAACATAATATTCAAAATTGGAACATACCTAAGGTACCAATTCATGACATCTATAATAAAGGAACATTCAAATTCAAGATGGGTTATGCCATCAAGACTGTAGAAGAAAGTTTGTCAGTCACTCAAAATCAAGAAGACTTTCACCTACTGTCAAAGAAAATCATTGAAAAACATAAAGAACATAATTACAAATATTTACATATTGGATTAATTCAAATAGCCGTAAAACCTTTGACCCGATTAGGGTTGAACACTTCTGTGCTTGTATGCCTAAGAGATACAAGACACAATATATATATATATATATATATATATATCTTGCCCTCCTACTTCTGTCCGGCTGAAATCACTGATATATCATTCATCGAGTCTCTCTCTCCTCTCCCTCTCTCTCTCCTTTATTTTTGTGACTTGTTGACAATGTATTTGTATTGCAAAGATTACAACGCAAGATTGGGCCCACATAATGTGGTCTGCTTTGAAATCATAGACAAAAATGGTGCTCGGGAAGAGCATGCCATACACTGTGTATGTATGAAACCAAAGAAACCAAAGTGGTTATCAGGACGAGCATGCTATATATATCCAGTTCTTCGCTCTCCTGGTTGGTTTGCAAACTTTCGACTGAAGTCGGGGCTCATCACTCAGAATCAAAGGTGATTTCCTTAACGTTATCTAATGAGCCAATAGATCCTCACCATGCCACTGGAGACTCAGGGGTTTATTTGACTAATTTTTCTATCTACTTGGAGGACTCACCATCTCTTCCAGACATTCTGAGTGAGTGCCAGTTGGCAAGGGAAGGTGTGACTCACACCTCCATTGCAGTGGGACAGTTGTCCCCTTTCCCCCCTACTGTAGCCAACTAAGTTTGTGCAATATAGCATTCTGCTAGCCAGTTTTACTCCAAGTTTTGTACATATCTCTCACACTTCACCATATTGTCCAGTGTAGAGTTTGCCTTGCTAATATGAATTGTTATTTATTATATAAAAAATAGAAATTTCACTTTTTCATCCTAAGTATTCAGTGTTAAAACCAAAATGCTTAATCTTTTTTCCTTTACCTTTGCACACACACAAAGAGTTAGGCCTTCAATGATTCAATTTCCCATTTTCATACTTTGTAATATAGTTTATTCGCAAAGCAGCTCTCTTAAGTTGATCTATTTGTACTTGTTAACAGGTTGTACTTAGTGTCCAAGGGGAAGATCTCTTGGCATGTAAAAAGGTATTGATGTATGTTCTTGAGCTTGCAAAGTGTGACCTAAACTGTGATGTGCGTGATCGTGCACGCTTTATAAAGACACTGTTACTACCTCATTTGACTCATCACTCTGCGGAGGTGAGAGAAACATTTTCAGAACCAGATGGGGGCTGGAGAAGCAAACTTGTGGAGCATATTTTTTGTAGAAAGAGAAAACCCATGTCCCATGCGCCCAAAAATGACCGGTTCTATCTTCCTGGATCTCTTTCACAGATAGTGATGCATACAGCACCAGGTTATGAACCTCTTCCTAAACCATGTAGTTTTGTTGATAGTGACTTTGAGACCTCCAAACTCACCGACCAGAAGAATTTAAGGGACAGAAAAACTACAAACAATTTGATGGATAAACGCGATCCTGACTCATTATCTGGATCTTCAGATGAAGAAAGCGCATACAGTTATGAATCTGAGCATTCTTCTTCTAATACACATGAAAGTGGGAGTACTGAGTCAGCAAGAAACTCTAAGGGCAGTGGCAGCAGTACTACATCTGCTACCAAAGATAGTAGTGATGAAGCAGTATTGGATCCACTTATTCATCTTTCTGACACAGAAGTAGGAAAGAATAAATCAAAAGAAAATGCTGAGAATGATTCTACTTCTACAGTATTTCGTGTGGATATGTCAGAGTTGATGCCTAGTAAAGGGCTAGAATCATGGCTTGATCAGCAACCTTCCTTATCTGGAACAAGTTCGTTTGAAAGAGTGGCTGGAATTCAACGTTCAGCATGCATAACTCTTGTGGATGTTGATGCGAAACCAGACGTGCACATACTTTTGGACTCTGTATCTGGGAGTGGCTTAAGTGTGGAGTACGCTTTCTCAACTGAAATATCCAGAGTTTCCCCATTGTTGGTTTGCGTGGAAGCCACATTCAAGAACAACTCAACTAAACCATTGGCCAAAATTGCAGTGCGAGATGAAGATACAACAGAAGATCTGCAAATTGGGACTCTTGAGGCTGAAGCTCTAGAAAGGTAATGGTGCATGGGAGACATCCTTCATAGTTTCATTTCCTTGTTTCTTGGTTTAGTTTGGCTGCTATGGAACTTCTTTTTTGTTGGTCCCATTATTTGTTTCTCATTTCTGTTGAGCTCCACGTGATGGGAAAGTAATACTATAATCCGATGAATTACGAGAAACCAAGTTTAGTTATCTCAGTCTGATGAAGTGAGGGATGGTGCTGGAGAGTGAGACCCACTATTGTAGTCATATTCTGTTCTGGTAGATCTCCTCTCTTGCCATCACTGATCATAATCTCACTGGATTGTGATGACCTATGGTTCATGCTTCACAGTACCTCGACGTCGATTTTTAGAATTTGCATTCATATAAGATTACATTGCAGGTCCATGGTCCCTTATGAACTGCCAAAAGTAATATCCACCAAAGTGATTGCTTGTCTTGATCCCGGTCAGGAAGAAAGGGTTACTCTTCACGTTCATTTCCATCACCACCTGTTGCCCCTCAAGCTAGCCATCGTTTGCGACGGTAAAAGGTATCCTATTAAATTGCGGCCCAACATTGGATACTTTGTGAAACCACTCCCTTTGGATCTAAAAACCTTTACTGATAAGGAGTCGCAGCTTCCAGGAATGTTTGAATACATGCGAAGGTATGCTATCTGTCCGTCCTTTCTTTAGAAACCATAAAATCTCTAAACCTTAACTCTATACCCAAGTCTCATGTCTACACTCTACTTCTATGAGCTAGGTTTATCATGTTATGCTCATTCGGAGGTTCTGAGTAAGGAATGATTGCTTAGTTACTCTTAAATGTGTAGAATCAGTGTTTAAAAACCTGGCTCAGGGCCCGAACCGGGTGCTTGTCAGTGCTGATCTAGCCAATCCGACTCAGCAAGTCGGCCTGACTGACTACACAATATTAAAAAGAAAAAAATTAAAAATAGAAAAAAGAGAAAATGCAAAAATACATGAAATTAAGCACTCACAATAAAAAATCGATTTCATACTATAAGAGGCATAAATCATTAAAAAAAAAACAAAACCACTTGGAAAGAAAATGTGGGAAAACAAAAGGCAAAAAATAAACAAAATTGATTTTTGAGATTTTTCATTTTGATTTAAGACAATTTGTTAGGCTTTTGTAGATCAATGTGATAGGAACAGTTTGGCACAACTTTGAACGAGTTTGGTGAAACAATGACAGACAATTAGAGGATTTTCCATTTTGGGTTAAAAATCCCCAGAAATTTGGACACTTGATTTCTCTTATTTTAGTTTTCCATCCAACAAATTGTTGTGGGGGTTTAATTACGATTAATTTGAAAAAAAATTAAGTTCTTTCGTTAAGAATCAAGAGAGAAATTGGAAGAACAGCCAATTTGGTATTTATGTTTGAAGAAACACAAGTTTTTAATGGGAGAACCTTGTCAAAGTCTTAAATTGATCCAAATGAAACTAGTTTCGGATAAAAAATGGGGTGTTGAAAGATCAATATTGGAGGTTAAATAGCATAGGATCAATTATGGATCCATAAAACTTAAAAAAAAAAAAAATTGATTTAAAACCCTCTTTCCTTTTCGTTTTTTTTTTTATGAAGGTAGGTGTCACAGGTCCAATTCTTGCACTTAGTACCATGTGACCTTAACTCGTAGCCTAATTGCCAAGGGTCAAGTTCAACCTATCTGTGTGAACCAAGCAAGAGAATACACACACACCACACCCACAGACAAAGCAAGACAAATGGGTCAAGGGCTGTAGGCCATTTTATGCAAGCTGTACAGTTATATTGTGTATTTCTGCAGATACCAAGGGTCTGGGCCAAGTATATATATAACCCCTGAGTTACAACCTACTAAATTCAAATAGATTACACGAGGTGATTAGCCACTTTGCATGGCCTGTTCCAGGGCACCTAGCAGCTAGCTATGCAAACCACGCCCCAGTTGGTTACAAGAGTCATCACTCTATTAGTTACAACAACCGGCATGATCAGCCGCTACCCTCTAGCCACATCCTGGGGTAAGGCCACCTGGCCGGTCAGCTTGGGTCAAGTTGCATAATGGTCTCCCCCATTCTACGGCCCATGTCTGGGCCGTTTCACCCACGTCATAGCATGCGTCAGTTTTAATTTGAATTCAAAGTTGGCACCTTTCCAGCCGAGTGCCTCGATCCCTCACATTGTTCAAAAAAGCAGATCACCCAGTGCTTAGGCCAGCCGCCTAGGCGGTCTAGAAGGCTTGGGCGCATCGCCCAAGCCTAGGCGGCCAAACTAGATAGCAGTCCTTGGGCAGCTGCCTAGGCGGTACAGCACCCCCCTAGGCGAGCGCCTAGGGCTTGCGCCCCGCCTAGGGCCGGAAATGAGTCTTTTTTCATTCTATTGAATTTTTTGAAAAATAAAAGCTTTTAAGGATACCCATTTTAGAGATAAAGAAACCTCAAAAAAACTAGATTTTGTGATTTTCATTGGATCGAAGTGTTTCTCAAAGTTATGGAAAATGGATCCAAACATCATCCAAGTAGATTAGATTTAGTTTTGGGTTTTTTTAATCCTATTAGAGGGTGGTTTTGAATATTTTAGCATCATAAAACATCTAAGAGGTGGGAGTTTGGAGTTCGAGCAATCAAAGTAAGTGCAAAACTTTATTTTTTAGATTGCTTGTTTTTATTTTGAGATGTCTTCTTCAGGATCTACTTGAAGTGGAGATTCGGGTTGGAAATTTGGATATAACCCGAATCCAAATGAAAAAAATTGCATTAGATGCAATTATTGTGAAAAAGATACAAAAAGGGGCATAAAATGGTTTAAGAAACATCTTGCCGGTATTAAAGAGGATGTTGCCTTTTGTAAAATTGTTCTTGAAGCTATCAGAGAGGAGATTAAGCAATATATGAGTTCTGTAAAACAAAAACAGGAATAAAATCCTTGTCGTTTGAATAAATTTATTTTTGGTTCTCTTAGAAGAAGTGATCCGGGTTGAAAGTATGGTCTTAACCCGAAACCAAACAATAAAAATTGTATAAGATGTAATTTTTGTTAAAAAGATACCAATGGGGGTATTAACCAATTCAAGAAACATCTTGCTAGTACTAAAGGGAATGTTGCTTCTTGTAAAAAGGTTACTGAAGCTATTCAGAATGAGATTAAACAATTTCTAAATTTAGAAGAACTAGAAAATGATGAAAATGAGCATTGTTCTATGGAAATATTTTCTTTGGGCTCTTCTAGAAGTGGTGATCCGGGTTGGAAGTATGGTTATAACTCGTATTCAAATGACGAAAATCGTATTAAATTTAATTCTTGGGGAAATGATACTAATGGGGGTATTTACCGGTTCAAAAAACACCTTACTAGTATTAAGGGAGATGTTGCCCCGTGTAAAAGTGTTCCTGAGGCTACCAGGGAAGAGATTATACAATATTTGAGTTCAGGAAAGCACAAAAAGATAAAAAAGGGTAGAGTAGCCAAGACTCCTAGAGCCTCATCTGCATATAGTAAGAGGGCGGTAGAAGAAGAGGAGGAAGATGCAGATTCTAAAGAAACAGAGGAGGACGAGCATTATATTGAAGAGGGAGATGACTTTGATGATGATGGTTTCGAATCTGATGCATATGATGAGGCTTCTGATGATGATGACTGAAAAATGAAGAGTTGACGACGCTTGAGTGCTTGACTCTTGGTGTTGAGTGTTGACGATTGTGTCCTAGACTGTATATTTTCTGAATTTCTGTGTATTTTCTTTTTCTTAATTTTAGTTTCTACTTTCTAGTTTCTACTATCGAACTTTTGTGTGTATCAGACTATCAGTGTATGCTTGTATGGTTTTATTGTTTTAGCGTTGTATGAAAATATGGATTATGGTCATCTCTTCTCGACTTCTAACTTCTTTTTTTTCAACTGGGCAGCCCAGATTCTGGGCGCCTGCCTAGGCGGCCGCCAAGGCACTGGGCGGCTTGGACCACCATGGCCGTCTGGGTGTTACCTAGCGCTTTTTGAAACACTACTCCCTCACTAGACCAACATTGATTAATGCCACCATGTGGTCGGGAAGCTCATGCTTCGACACACCATAATGCGCACTAGCCTTGTCCGACGTGGCCCTCTGGTTGACCTAAGGCTCATGCCACCCTCTCAAATAGGAATATAGACATAAAAAACTGGACTGCCACGAGTGGATTCTATTTGGTGCAAAGTAGCATAGGTGCATGCTGTGAGTGTGAGGGGAAACTTGGCTGGTTGGTGACTGCATCTAGGACTGTTCTCTAACTTTGCCCTTGACCAACACATGTGCACCTAGCTGGGGCCCTGATGGTAGGGTTACAGGAGATTTGTCCAAGTCCGGGCAAGAATCAGGCCAGTACCCACTGGATCCTAGTCAACTCTGGTGGTTCCTAGTTGACCCCGTGGTATTTTAAGCTCCACGTAGTGCTATTAACGTCTTGCATTAGTTTTTTGGCAGCCAGGTTGGAAATCAAGATTGGGGTTAGAGTTTTTACCAAAGCTTTTCTTGTTATATCTTGAAAGTTAGCTTTTGAGAGATTTGAGAAATTTTGTGAATCATTAATATCTCAAAAATTAACAAGTCAGAGACCCCATGGATCGGGAAATACGTTTCTTTGTTAGTTGGTATTCAAACCTTGGATGTTAGAGCCTTATGGCCTAACGACAAAGTAAAGAGGTCATACACCATGAGAATTTGGGTGAACTTGAGGTTTCTATTTCATGACAAATTTATCGAGCCTCAAGATTTCTGGTTTGGAAGTTTGATGTTAAAATTATGGTTTTGGCACTATTTTCTTGAGCTCTTTATCTTCTTTAGCTTGAGCATCAAGGGTTTGGAATCAAGTTAATATTGGATTTGGCACAATTTCGTGAGCTTTAAAATTATGAATTGGGTTTGAGTTGAGGTTTCTCAGGATTTCAGTTTGGCACTAATTGATCTCTAGATTTACAGTTTTCTGTTTCTTTTTATCCTTACTCTGAGTGAACACTATGATATCATTCCCATACAGCTGCACCTTCCGAGGCCATATTGAGGGCATGCAAAGCGAAGAGGGCCAGAGCGTAAGAAACAAAGACATGATCCTTACAGTGGCCCATAGAATAGCTTCAACCATACTTGGCAATTCAAATATTTCCCTTGTCTCTGTGACCATCCCAGTATTCTCGGCTGATAATACTTCTAAGGCTTATGATGATGTATCAGGCCTGTGCCTGCGGTTTAGTGGCGAGATCTTAAGCAGCTCTCTCCCATGCTTAATCACCATTTCAGTCGAAGGTAGATTTTCTCAACCATTGAATGCTGTGGCCAAAGTCAATTGCGAGGAAACGGTTTTTGGCCTAAACCTGTTAAATAGGATAGTTGCTCTCCTTTCCTGAGTGTTGCTATTCTTTCTTGTATGCAAGTTCATATGTTGTAATCTTCGGAGTGATAGGATCTATTTGGAGAAATTGATGAGATATTGATACAATCCTCTTTTTTTTTTTTTGTTGTGTGTGTGTGTAATTATTGGGCCTGGCTGGTTAGTTAATGTATTGGTTAGTTAATGTATTGTTATTGCTTATTATTGTATTGGTTCTGATTTTTGAGTTATGGAAGATAGAACTATAGTTACAAAGAAACTTAACGTATAAGACTTTCGTGTTGGGACTTGTGTATTATCGTGGGTATGTATATGGCCATCAAGTTGCAGTCAATACTCTCATCATCAATGTTGGGCTTTTTTCATAGCTCGTCTGTAGTACTTCTTTCTTGTAGCATGTTTCTCATCATCAAATGGTACTAAACATAATTCTCTTTGCGTGCATGCATCTGTGTGTGTGTGCACGAGAGAGAGAGAGAGAGAGAGAGAGTGAGAGTGAGTGGAGAGCCTGTATGTCATTAATCAGATTATATGAACTCCTGAATCCATTGCAATTACAATAACTAATAACCACAGATGGATGACTTACATGGCTTGTCACTCTATTTGACCACTGTAAGAAAGAAAAAGCAGTTACAGTCTCAGCAGATACCTGAATTCAGATTCATATGGTCTCACCTCAACGGTTTGAGCAATGGGCCACCTTGTCTCACTTTTCAAGCACTCCATAATCAATCTCCTCAATGGTGAGGACCTAGGCAATTGGCTATATATCCACTCTACCAATGAGTCTAGGTCCTCTGCAAAATCCTGTGTGTACCAATGGAGAAGCTTTGGGATTATTATTTTCTTCTTGGTTGTGACTCCAATGGAGGCCTGTAAGTACTCCACTTTCGCAGTCTCTAACTCGTTCACCACGTTCTCTGCAGTGTACACCCTTATCTGTGCACAGAGTAATGTAGCCACATGAAGAAGAGGTCAGCCTTTAGGCATTTTCCTGGATGAGAGGCAAATTGCAATCTCTCTCTCTCATAGACAGAGTAATGTAGCCACATGAAGAAGAGGTCAGCTTGTAGGCATTTTCCTGGATGAGAGAGGCAAATTGCAATCTCTCTCTCTCTCCCTCTCTCTCTCTTACCCACTATCCAATACCCATCGTCTCTCTCTCGGTCCTTCCTCACTCTTTGCTTCTCGTCCTATTTTCTTATTTCCTTGGTTTTTATGGAGTACTAACATTTTCCAGTCTTCTAGTTTAGAAAATTACAGATTTATGCTCACCTGCCATTAAGATGTTCTCACCCTGATAGCAAAGAAGAGACATATCAATATATGCAGAAGTAAAATCACTTACTGCAGGGGAAGACCAGCTTCCACGGCAGAGAGCAAAAGTGATGCTTGGTTCAGGATACCCGAGACCATATGCACGGCGAAGTACAGCTTCCCTTTCCTCCATACTTCCCTATTATCCCAAAAGATTTAACTTGAAACTTGAGAAAACCGCAGAGAGAGAGAGAGAGAGCGAGAGAGAGAGAGAGAGAGAGAGAGAGCTCTTTCCTCTTTGAAAACAGCTCACCTTTTTGAACTCACATGGATGCCTGAGGATAAAATGCTCGATCGCCAGAACGTTTAGTACTATGCCTCCAACATTGAGCATGGCCTGAATAAGAGTGGGCAAACGGAGCAGAGTTCAGATTAAAAAAAAAGACGAGGGGACTGGTGTATGAAAAAAAAGAGGGAAAACCAGATGAGTTATATGTAGTTATAGGCTTGAATGATATTCCAAAAACTACCATACTTTTCGCAACATTTTGCTAAAAAAAAAGAATTCAAGTCCACGATATTTTCTAACACGCCATATTGATACTGTAAAAAACTCTTGTATCAGAGATGCAGATAGATGATACCTTGTCCAATAGTGCCAATAGTTTCTGAGGTGAGGAGGGAAGCCCATATTGGAGAAATGCCTGCAAATCACTCAAAAAAAAGACATGTAAGATCTTGTTATTTATTTCTATCTAGGGATATGCAGACAAATTTGTCAAATTCAATATTAGTTTTATATTGTGGTGCATATTAATTTGGGAAAATATCTCTTTATCTCTTATTTTTAACTTCTATATCTCATGAGACATAAGAATTGAAAATATAACTTGTAAGCAAAATGTTTTATCTTTTCTATTTTACAACCTCTTGGACCCTTTTGGTCATAAATTTTTTATCCAAATAAATACTAAAATGACACTATTCAAACTTCATCTCTCTCTTCGTTTCTCGGAGTCAAGGGATTTAGCTTGAGCTCGAACACGAGTACACTTTTTTACGTGTGAGAGATGGATTTTTAGAAAGAGAGATGAAATTTGGGTTTCAGAGAGAGATGGAGTTTTAGACAGGGAGATGAAATTTGAGTTTTAGAGAGAGAGATGATGATGTGAGAGAGATATGGAGTTTGGGTTTTAGAGAGAGATGATGTGAGATGAAGTTTTAGAGAGAGAGAGATGGTCATTTCATAAGTTGTTGAGGTCAATAATACATGGTCAAATGGGTTTAGGGTGTTAGAAGATAAAAAAGATGGAGTCTTTTTGCTTACAAGTAATATTTTCAATTCTTAAGTCTGATGAGATGAAATATAAAAGTTAAAAATAGAGGATAATAGGATATTTTTCCTAATTTGTATGTCATAAAGCCAATCACCTTTGGTTCAAGGAGTTAACAATCATTTATAGGTGTTATATTTGAAATTTGACAGGTTGGGTGTGTGATGAAGTTTGAAGATATTTCTTTTGAACTGTAATCTTACTCAATAGAAGAAATGTAGCCACCCAATTTCACATCCAGCGGTCAAAACCAACTTTGACCTCTATGCATCAAACATAAATAATCTTATTATAAACTCTTCCTTGATTTAAATGTTATAGTTTCTATGAGTAAATATGAAAAGGAAAAGATATTACAAATCCAAGAAATTTGGAAAAGCAATAGCCTTACAGCCCATTTGTTTCGCATGAAAATATTCTTCAGGAAATATTTACGTGAAAGAATTTTCTCTTGTAGTTAGATGTGAGAATATTTTTACACCTAGTTTCAGTGTATCTTTTTACATCATTGGCAGCTAGTTGGTATGAAAATACTTTCACACCTAACCACATGAAGAAAATTTTCCACTTACAATTATTTTCGCACATGAAAAAATTCCCTCGTATAGTTAGCTGTGGGAGTGTTTTTATACGAATTGATCTTAGTGTGTAGAAATATTCTCACATCTAACTATATGAGAAATTTTTTTCACACGAACCAAACATGCCCCTTACGGTCATCGTATAACCCTTAAGAAATATGATAGCATGTATGGTGACCCTTAAGAAATATGATAGCATGTATGGTAATGAAGAGAGTGAGATTCACTAGAATGAGGCCATGACCAGATGATGGGTGCTATTCTCTCACTTATCTCAGTTGAGGTCAAGTTTTCCCTGTATATAGTAAAATACCATTGACATAGTAAATTGGGGGAGCATATGAGCCCAACACAAATATTTGTGCTTGTATGGTGAGAAAAAAGTCCTGTGGATGTAAAATTAGGTGGTGGTATTTATTTCATCGATCAAATTCAAAGTTAAAAGAATTTTTTTTGAACTTTATGACACATTCAAGTTATCAGATTTCACATCGGATGATTGTAAGTAATTGTGACCTCCCTATTCAAAAGGTAAATGGTTTCATTGTATACAATCCCAAAATAATAGACGGCTTTGTGCGCTAGGCTCATCTAAACAATCATTCCAATCTAAGGAATCAGTTGATCGATGCTCATTAATTTCTCTATGTCCAACCATCTAAGAAATTGGCATGATAGTGAGCATAAAGCTTGATAGATAAACTATTTATTCTTTCAAAGTGATAAAAACCCAATTAGAGTTTTCCTAGCCTTACATGCATAATGGAAGCATTATAGATGTTGATCCAAAAGGCCAGCTTTTGTTTGTATGTCAAAAAACTCAGATCCAAATTGCAAAGCTTGTCCATCAAAACCCTGCAACAAATCAAGATTGCTATTATCAGAAATCAAATAGCCTTCTTTGCCTTTAAGGAGAAGTAATTGCTCTATATTTGGTTTTCTATCATAAAAACAAATTTAAAGCTAGGAAAAATTTATAAGGAAAGGTTTCTATACTTTCCCTACATCATAGAAGATCTATGCTTCTCTTACCTTCCAGCCGTCCAATTTTGATCAAGTGAGTCACTTGCCGTTTTATTTTAGATCCAACGCCTCTGAGTATTTTATTTTTAATTTTTTATACAAAATGTATTAATAGGAAATTTGGTACCAGCCATCTTTTCATTGGGGTGCACATATAAAAAATATTAAAAATAATTTTTTGATAAAATATAAAACCAAAGCACCTTTTGAAAATTTCAAGGAATATTTTGATCATTTTATTTTATTGGAAATTGTTTTATATTTTTAAAAATTGCGGTTTAATAAAGGATTGGACATTAAAAAGAAAAGATTTCAAAGTCCAAAAATAATACATCTTACAATATATTATCTGAATCGTCTATTTTCAAGATTTTAAATGTTCATATATCTACTCAATCAATACCATTTTTGGAGCTTCAAAGCAAATAATAATTGATGAAAATGGATTTTCAAACGATTGTGGAGATTTCTGGCACCAAAATTGTATCTTTCGACAAAGTTTGGAATTGTGCCTTATTTTGATTGTTTAAAGTTAACATCTTATACAAATTGCACTCTTTACATCATATGATTGTTTCTCAAACATATGAATATTCTTTCTGATGGGAGGTTTTTCTCACGCTTTCTACTTCGATTGTTCTTGAGGATGCATGCAAATCATATCTCTCTCTGAACTTAGAGAGAGAAGCAATACAGAATGGACATGGTTAGCATGCGGCCAAACCCGCACATATAGAAATGCGGGCTTGGTAATAAATATATTTTTTAAATATAATTTGATCTTAATTTTTAGAGAATGTATAATCTTTAATATGGAGATCAAGAATATGAAAAATTAAATAAAATTTGAAAACTAGAAATAATAATTATATTGAGAAAACATTTGGATCGTTGATTACAATTGTTTTTAGATAGACCACCTATTTGCATCCATCTTTAAGATATATGCCCAAGACTGCATATTGTACAAATGCGGTCCAGCCTACCTGAAACAATTGTTCATGCAGAATTACAATTTTAAAAACAAAGATAATAATGCTTAGGGAGAGAAAACAAACAAGTTTACCTTAGTTTTTGGAGCAACGGAAAGCATTCGGATACCCGACCAAAATCCAGTGAGCTCCTCGTGAGGACGATGAAGTTCTTGTATGGTCCGATGTCGATTTCTCTATCAAGAGTACCATAAGGATCATGTGTGGTTGAATCCAGAGAGAGAAACAATGGTGCTGTGCAATTGAAGGAGCTTTTGGGAATGAAGCTCCCAGAACTCATGCATGAAAGCATTAGCTTAGGGACTTCACAACTTCTATTCCTGTTCAATTTGAGGAAAATAGAGATCAAGCACTTCAAAAGCTCCTCAGAGAGCTTGTTGGGCTTCTTACTGTCGTTTACAAAGCCCTGGATCGAGTTCTGTTTGGACCCATGGCCATGCTTTTCTTTGAATCTCTCGTCCTTGAAATCTACTTGCAGACATAGAGCATAGTTAAGATGGTAATTATAGAAGCTAAAAGATTTTTTAATCCTGATGGAGCACATTGTCCGTTTACTCCTTTGTGTAAAATCCAAGTTAGGAGTATTTTTAGGACCCTAAAGTTAAAGGATATAACTATCTTAAACCTATTGACTAACTTTTTAAAAGAAGGGTGGGGTTTGTATAGAGCGTAGGCTTTAAACAATCAAATTAGAGCCTACCTTCAAATAGTATCGAGAAATGTGGTTTCAATACTGCAAATCTTTTTGATAGCCTTATTTTCATCTGTATTTATAAAGTTTAAAGTTTTAAAAATAGTGTAGATCGAGAGATCTATGAAAACTTCAAAATCTAAAAAATTGACGGTCCAAAAGTGCGTTACAAAATACACTTTTTCCAAAAGCTGAAATCCAATTTTTTCTCATGTCCATGCATCTTGATGTGGAGATGATGAATTTGAGGATATTTGGGCATCAAAACAATATCTTCTAGTGAAATTTTTGATGTAGGCTCAAATTTGATTGTTTAGAGCTTCGGCTCGATATAAACTTTTCCCTTAAAAGAATATTTTTTCGAATTGCACTAAATACATACATGAAAAAATTATCTCTTGAGATTGAATAGAGACCACCCAAATTTTATAAAATGAAATGAGAACTCAAAAACTATTCCTTTTGAAATAATAATTTTTATTTTTTATTTGAAATGATCATTTGATATGTCAAATTTTTTGGTAAAAGAAAAACCTTCCCAAGTGGCTCTCTGGCTCGATGGAGTACGTATAAAAATGCTCCCATGGAACATAGTATACACGCTAGAACGATCCATGAGCATAGACAACTATTCATTCAATTTATGAACAGTCATCGAGAGAGAAAGGACCGAATACATGAGCTAATTCATGTTTTGGCTGACCATGATATAACTATCCACTTTAGATTTTAAAAGAAATTTCCATCGACTGTCTTCTCTGCATGTCCCAACATGCGCTCTTCTAAACAAAGAAATTTGTACCAATGATTTTATATGACCACATGGATCACAACGCATTTCCTTGGTAGTAATTTGGGGCAACTGCTAAATGGCACTATTTATGAGGTGTTGACTTCATAGGGTGCACATTAAAAGTCCACCCTTAAAATGTTGTTCTAACTTCGAAAAACCTTACATCTCAACCTGGATATATATGAAAATATTTATAAAAAAAGGATTTCAAGTCTAAAAATAGTGTTTCTTGTAACACATTATTTTGATTGTCGAATTTTCAAAATTTTTATGTGCTTATAGATCTGCTCAAAGACATCATTTTCTAGTAATTTGAAATATATAATTTTGTCTTAACAATAGATTTTTGGGTTATTATAAGGGTTTCTGACGCCTGAAAATTGATTCTTTTAACAAGATTTAGGGTGCGCTTTATTTTGATTATTTATATTTGAAACCCTATCCAAACAACATCCTGGTACATAATCTTCACAATAAAAGACAATGTTTTGAAAAAGACCGTAGATCCATTTACGGAGGTACACAACCTTTCGTGTCACCCGAGTCCACTTGGACTTAGGCGAGTTACTCCAACCTACCCCATGGGCAAAGACTGAGTAGGGGTAAGTTCCACGTCAACTCTCCCTGCTCTTATAAATTTATAAATATAATTAAAAAGAATATAAAAATAAAAAAATATAGAAACAATGGGAAACACCAAATAAGTTTTTAGATTATTTTGGTAGTTTTTAATGTGATTTGAAAACTTTAGTAATTTTTTCCCTTTTTAAAATTTTTCTGAAATATTCAAAATCAAAATCAAAATTTTCAATAACTTATTTTTTATAGGTCTTTTTCTTCTTTTTAATCTTCTAATGCTTTCTGTAACTTCTTTTATTTTTCTTATTTTTACTTTTTTTAATTAATTTTTTAGCTGAATGTGGTTCAGACTAGTTCACTTGGTCTTATTTTTCTTATTTTTACTTTTTTTAATTAATTTTTTAGCTGTTTGTGGTTCAGACTAGTTCACTTGGTCTTATTTTTCTTATTTTTACTTTTTTTAATTAATTTTTTAGCTGTATGTGGTTCAGACCAGTTCATCTCTCCAAGTTACTTACTTTGGTCAAGTAGCTGAGTACCTTGGTCGAGACGAGTTTCTAACCTTGGGCTTGGGTGTATGGTTAATTGCACTTAGTTTACAAGCCTTTTATTTCTCCCCTTTAACTTTGTGAGAAGAAATGACATACAGGATTTCATCAGCAAGGGTAACGACCGTGGGCGTTCGACTATCTCCCTAATCCAACAGTCGTAATCATGGACCCCATCCACCCCACCAAAACCATAGGTTTGAACAGATATCTTTCTTCTCAAAAGCCAGAGTTTTTTGTTTGTTTTAATTCATTATCTTGTGGAATGAGTAAAAGGGTGCAGTTGGCATACGGATGCATGTAGAGGTAAGATGTACTTTCAAATTTTATCATGGTATATAATTGTGATGTAAAATGTTTTTAGGATTATCTAAAAATCTATTTTTATATCTAATTATAAAATTTTAAATTTCAAATATAGTTAAAATCAAGTAGATAAGCATAGGAAAATCTTGAAAATTGATGGTGTAGATAATATGTTGTAAAATGCACTATTTCTGATATCTAAAATCTTTTTTATTTTTTATGGTCATACGTCTCGATGTCAAGATGATCAATCAAAGGGTTTTTTAACATTAAAACTACCTTTTTCGATGGATTTTTTAGGTGCATCCGTAGTTCTACATTATAAGGTGCATCCTTGTATAAACTTTTTCCATAAGTAAAAGGCAATCTACCAAATTTTAGAAAAGAGCAATTATTGCGGAACTATTCGTTGGGTGGGTGGTTTGGGTCTAGAAACCCTAGGATTCGCCTCCCACCGGTTTTTTAAAACTCTTTTACGATACAAAATAGCTAGAAAACTAGTTAGCTGTACTGGAATTGGCTGCACTTAGAGAATGGCCCGGGGCCTTAGCGGTAGTAATGCCATGCCCCATGGTGAGGTTTCTGACTCCATTCTCACCAAAGGATAAGCTCCCAAATCCCCACTTACATACCACTATATGTGCGAGTTAATGTCGATGTGAATAGTTGCATAGCTATTAATATGTGAGGTGGGGGCCACCAAAATGTAGGCCATTTAGGAAACGAGCATGAGGATAAACCGGTCAGCGTGTTGGGCGATAAGTTCACAGTGCTTGGATCCTAAGCTCTAATCCTGCCAAGTTAAGGGGATCTCCCCAGTTGAGCTATTGGAAATAAATAAATAAATAAATAGAAATTTAAGAATGGCTTGGGCCCTTGGTAGTGGGATTGTCGAGTCCCTATGGGGAGGTCTGAGACTCTATTCTAACCAACGGGTAAGGGCCCAAATCCCCATTGACACACCACTTTTTATCACTTTATGATGTGGCCCACATGATGGCATATGTTGGGGGTACAATTGGGCTATATATGCATGTTGTTTACTTACCCAAAAAAAAGAATTGGCTGCACTTACTCAATTCGGCCAGTGACCATTGAGCCCACCGCAAAGAGTGGCAATGGAACGACTAGGCCGATCCAAAACCAAATGATGAAAAAATAATTAAAAAATAAAAAGAAAAAAAGAGGGCCTGGTTGGGCCGGCGGCAGTAGCCCGGAAGCCACATTTTTTGCCCAGGTTTCATAATAGATTGCCAATATGGTACTAAATGAACTTTCTTTCGTAAAAACTTAGTTGAGCATAATGTTCTTTTTGTTTTTTGTTTTTTTTTCGGGTAACTCAGTAGGAAAGAAAACCCCTACTCAGTTTTTCAAATAGTATAGGAATTGGTTTTTCAAAGATTTTAGTGGGATAGTGTCATAGGAATAAAAATCACAACATGATGATAAGAGTGTGGAGTTGTTACTACCTCGACCCCAACCCATTTCTTAGTGAATACAGTGATCTAGAATAAGAATAACTTGGATGAGACTGTCCATACGAATGGATGGTCCAATTTACCAAGCTCTTTAGACTTTTAATGAATCTTCAAAAAATAATAAAAACCAAGTTCTACGTTAGAGACCATCTAGACTCTCTCTCTCTCTCTCTCTTATTACCAGAGTCACTGCTGCAGCCACCTTCCATGGAAAGCACGGCTTCATACGAAGAACCAAGTGAATTTACCCTTTGCTTGTGTAGCCTTTGGTTTCTCTGTCCCAAAAAATGCTGATTATTGGTTATCTGATGGTCCTCTGAAACTCGAAAATGTTCATTCTCTCTATAAAAGCGGCACCTGAGTTGACCCACTTTCCTTTCAAGTCTAATAATCTCTTGGTCCACTATGCCTATTTCTTCAAAGAGAGCATGTATCTGCACATCAACAATTTCACTTCTTCTTTTTTCTTTTTTGTAATTTGGGTTTCAATTATTAGGTGAAGTTATGCTTTGCCTCAATAAAAAGTAAGGAAAAGGAATAGAGTAAGACCATTTACTTTTGGGTTTCAATTATTAGGTGAAGTTATGCTTTGCCTCTATAAAAAGTAAGGAAAAGGAATACAGTAAGATCATTTACTTTTGTAAGAGAAAGTCACAATCACTCGTAGTTATTAAATTTGAAATCGGGAGGTTAGAGTGTGTGTCATTCACCAAGCTCAATGCTCAAATGAAAATTTTTCAAATCATGTGAATCCCAAGTTGTTGGATTTCACATCTAAAGGCTAAAAGTGATTGTGATATCCATACACTAAAAATAAATGATCTTATAGTATATAATCCCCTTTAATAATAACTATGAAATGATAGGGATAATACAGACTAGTGCCCATTTCATAATCCCATTCTCTATTCTTAATTATTAGCAAGAGGCACATGCAATCACTCCAAGTAATGAACAAAGGGTGTTGTTTCTATAAGGTTGCAACCTTAAACCATCCAATTAAGGCGCACTTCTAAATTTTATCATAATATACAATTTTGGTGTAAAAATTCTTAAGGTTATCTCAAAATCTATTTTTAAATCGAATTATAAAAATTTAAACTGAAAAAATGGTTAAAATCAAGTTGATCTATAAATATATGAAAATCTTGACAATGAACGGTCTAGATAATGTGTTGCAAGATGCACTATTTCTAGGACTCAAAATCTTTTTTTTTTTTTTTTCATATTCATACATCTCGATGTTGAGATGATTAATTAGAGGGTTTTAACATTAAAACAACCTTTTTAGAAGGATTTTTGAGGTGCATTTTTATTTCTATATTTTAAAGTTGCAAACTTATATAAGCTTTTTTCATGAACAAATGATACAGAGGGGTAAGAAGAAATGACTCAAGGCATAGGTAGTCAAGATAACATGGTGTCACAAATAATGTCTTGGATTCCACTCCTACCACATGTGGGACCCTTTCTTCACTGATCTATTGAAAACAAAAAGATATGGGAAATGTTTCTATACTACTCTTACAACATATAAGATTTATGCTTTACCTACCATCTAGCCGTTCCATTTTGATCAAGAGAGCCACTCACCATTTGATCTTAGATTTGACGTCTCAAAGTATTTTAGTTTTAGCTTTTTTATATAAATTATATAATTATGAAATTTGGTACGTGCCATCTTCTCATTGGGCACACCTATAAAAAAATACTAGAGTAATAGAGGATTGGATGTCCAAAATTTGGTGTCAAAATAGTTTATAGAAAAAAATTAAAAATAAAATAGTGTAAAAACGTGACATTGTGATTGGGGCAATCTTAACCGGCCATTTAGAATGGAGGGTTGGATAAGGGGAAATACATAAATTTTATGCTGTAAGGAATACAATTTAGTTTCTCAAAAGTTATAGAGTGGATCCCATTCTCTATCCATAATAACTAGTAAGAGGCAAATGCAATACACGATTAAATTATAGAAAAGTACACAACAGGACCATTACTGAAATGAAAGATACGGAAATCTAAAAAGGGGCAATTATGATATTTTAAAAATATTTTTTGAAAAGGTACTTGATTGAAGTGAAAATTTTAAAACTAAAAACTCTAATGTGATCTCTTTAATAATTTTGTAAGGGATTTTGACCCTTACACGATACAAAATCTAAATTGTCTATTAAAAAACAAAGCTTCCTTTATTCCATTTAAATATACTCTTGTACACATTTTCCTCTAAGTATTTTGTAATGGGTGCGGTTTCTATAGAGCCTAGGCTCTAAACAATCAAATTAGCGCCTACTTTCAAATAGTATCAAGAAATATGATTTCAATATTGGAAATATTTGTGATAGCCTTAAAATATAATTTCATATTTATTTATAAAGTTTAAAGCTTCAAAAATAGTACAGATCGACAAATCTATAAAAACTTGAAAATCTTGAAAATTGACGGTCCAAAAATGCATCACAAAATACACTATTTCCAAAACTTGCGGTCTATTTTTTTCTCATGTCCATGTATCTTGATGTCGAGATGATCAATTTGAAGATATCTGGGCATCAAAACAACCTCTTCTAGTGAAATTTTTGAGGTAGGCTCAAATTTGGTTGTTTAGAGCCTCGGCTCTATATAAACTTTTCCCTTTGTAATAGTAAGAGTAATCTAACTTAAAGTCCCTCTCTTATGAAGTCCATCTCTCATTCAAATACTATTTGTCGCTACCGTTCAAATGTGGTGTAAACATATGGATAATGAGATAAATATAAGGAAAAGTATATAATGAGATCATTTACTTTTTTCACAATGGTGGCCACAATTAATCTTGACTACTGGATGTGAAATTGGCTGGCTGCATTTATTTCATTGACCAAGCTCAAAGTTCAAAAGAAATTTTTTCAAACTTTACGACACATCTAAACTATCAGATTTCACATTGGATTGTAATGAATAATTGTAACATCCCTGCACAAAACGTACATGGTCTCATTGTATACAATCCCCAAATATAATTGACTTCTCAAGTAAAAGTAAGCTAAATTAGAATCAGGTTTGGGCTTTGATTTATTAGTAGTTGATCTTAGTAACACTACATCTTAAGTTCAACTCCTACCCTAATGCTGAACTACCAAAAAAGAAATGAAAAAAAAAAGAGGAAAAAAAAAGGCTTAATTAGCTCGAAAGACCAATAAACCCTCGCAAAATGTAGCTAAATATAGAACAATGATCTAATGCAACGATTGTATCATAGTATAATGCAACGACACTTATAGAAAACTATGTTTGTGGTATTTGTATGACTTCAAAATTTCACACACACTCTCTTCATCTCAATAATCAATCCTTCAAAAAAAAAAAAACAATTTGAACCCTAAATATGGTCAAAATGAGTTCCCTCCAAAAACGAATCTAGACCATTCATTTTGTGAATTTCAAGATCTTAGCCTTTATAAACTCAAAATCATTTTTTTTATTTTTTAACATTGTTCATCTAATGATAATAAAGCCATCCAAAAAAATTAGAAATGAAAAAGTTCTTCTAAAGCCTAGATCTAAGCATCTTACCAAAATGAACGGCCTATGTTAATTGGGCTAAAAAAATATTTTCTACGCTATGTTTTCAAAAAAAAAAATTTTGTAATTGTTCATTAGAATAATAAAAATGTATATTTTAAATTTTAGATCAAACAAATGACAATAAGATAGTTTTTTAAAATTATTGCATAATATTACTATACAACGATTGCAAATCATTGCTCGTTAAATATATGTCCACTAAAGCAGATGTTACTCCTTGACGTACGGCGAGTGTGCAACTCATCCACAAAAGAAGTAAGAGAAGTTTTCGCTTATGTGCCCATAAATTAATGTGATCATAAAATTTTCTTTTAATTTTTGTTTTCCCATGTCCATACCTTTTTTTAACCATGATTTTGGTCCGTACTAGGTGAGGTATCCCATCACATTTGAGCTTGAAGGCCTGAAGTGCTATTTAGAAGCACTCCAAGCTTTGAAATCAAGAATTTTATTATCATTTTGGATTTTAAAGTTCCAAAATAAAGTATTTTGAAAAAGTTAAAAGAAAGAATGTAAGACTGTTTACTTTTAATATAAAAAGATCACAATTACTTTTAGCTATCCAATGTGAAATCTGATAGCTTAGGTGTTTCATAAAGTTTGACTTTTTTTTTATTTAAATTTGAGTTTAGTCAATGGAATAAATGCAACCATCTAATTTCACATCGAATGATTATGATTAATTGTGATTACCTTGTACCAAAGATAAATAATTTCATTGTATACTTTTTTAAAGTTTAAAAATAATAATATAGACGTAAAATATAAAAATTTAAAAAGATTACAATAGCAAACACCGTGAAATGAGTGCAAATTTCTAAAAGAAATATTCTTATCCGCTTCATCTATTTTTCTAAAGACCTGTAATTGTAAATCTGATATTTTAGTACAAGGTTTTAAATTTAGGGGCCGTTTATCTAAGGTTGCAACTGGATTCTACAAGGCGGTAATGAGGAGAGTAGGTCCTCATAATTTTAATTTTAATTTTATTTTTAATTTTAATTTTAATTGAATGTACCCTAAATAGTTGGGAAAATTTTTAATTGCATATATCAATTAATTTACTTTAAATAATTGGAAAAAGACTCTGACCGCATGTGCACTGATGCCCTCTTTATCACCGTCCAACCCTGGACGGTGATAATCCCATGATTGTGTAGAACACTTTCTCAAGAATAAAGAACTGCTCGTATTATTACCTCTTCTTCAAGATGATCTCCATCGTCGCCTTTTTGCTCGTCATTTCCTGTCTCACCTTCTGCTTCTTCTCTGTCATGATTTCCGACCTGGTCCGCATCTTCTTTTCTCTCTTCAGTCTCTTTTGCCATCAAGAAATATTCAAACCTCATGTAATTTATACAGTGGAGAGAAGAGGAAAAAACCTATTGAGTTATGCAAATCTCAGAATTGAGAGAGAGAGACAGAGAATAATCCAAGAAATAAGGAAACTGAATTAGAGAATTCAAGTAGAGAGCGAAAGATCAGAAAGAAAAACCAGGAGCACAAGGGTCAAATTGGAACAGGTAGTCAAGAGAACTCAAGGAGAACGAACTTATGGAAATTGCAATTTAAAGAGAGGCTTCGGTGTCCTATGACCGCCATTAAAACCGCTGAACATTCGCAACAAGCAGAAAGAAAATGAGGGAAAGGAAAGGAAAAGAAGAGAGAGAAAAAGGAGAATGGAGAGAGAAGGTAGGATGAGGTCTGCAAATCCATGGATGTCCCATGAACTCCACCGCCACTTTCAGACATGAAACGCATGAACAAGTTCAAGTGCCCCACAGCTGCATAGAGAGAGAGTTAACATTTTAGAGAGAGAGAGAGAGAGAGAGAGAGAGAGAGCAGTGAGAGGCGATCAACTTCGACGAATAAAT